TTGGCCCGGATCAATCTCGATAATTGATCCCCAAAGGTCAACTTTTGAGGTTTCTTGAGTGTTTGAGTGTAAATCATTACAGGTTAATTCACTTTCAGAAGTCATGGCTTTATCAGTTTTCTTAGATGACTGCAAAAATTCCTTAGAACTGACTCTACCATAAACCAACCCTTCAAGGGGCCAAATAAGAGAATCCGACATAGCTAAAGTATCGAAGTTGACGATAAGTGAAGCATCAGAGCTACTGGTGCCCTCAATTGAGGCAAGTCGATGGCAGGTCATATCGGAAATCACTAGTGACTTAGTGTGGTTATCAGAATTGTCAGCTTTTCTGAACTCCTTACACAAGGGGATATCTCTTTCTTCTAGTTGAGAGGGGACATCTACATCAAGCAGACGAGTCGCGTTTGCTAAAGAAGAAATTGAGGATGATAATAATGAAGAGGATGATGATGGTGATGATAAGGAAGAGGAAGAAGGCATAGAGACCGAGCTGGAATAGGAGGAAGCAGTAGAGCATAAATTAATGGTTTCATCGGATTTCCGAGGTGATAATGGCAAAGAGGGAATAAAAGGCCCATCAACTCGGGATAGAGATAAACAGCTGGAAAGCATGCGACTCCAACGAAGACGTCGGATCCGCCGAGAAGTTCGGCCATAATAATCAACAGTTCGAAACAACTCCGAGTCACTGGCTCGGACGCAAGATAAATCACATAGCTCTGAATCTGACGAGGTGAGACTAGAAGAGGATAGTGAGGCTAAACCAAGGTTGGGAGAAGAATCAGTAAAACATGAAGCTAAAGACCCTGAGGGAGAAGAAGCACAAATAAAGGAAGCAGAAGATGAAGATGATGACGAAGATGAAGGAGAAATGAAAGAAGATAGCAACTGTGCTCGCCGACAACCAGGCAAGTGGCGCCGAAGAAGAGAGCGTCTGGAGCGGTTACTCGACTGTGGTCCGGTGCGACCAGAGCCTAGAGCTGTATTATTGGCTAGTGAAGATAAGACGCTCCGTGATGGGTAACGAATTGCGGCTTGGCGAACGAGTTTGCAACGCGAATTGCCAGATTTTTCTTTGATCTGAGGATTGAGGGTCCCACTGCTGCTAGCCTGATTAACAGATTGTTCGAGTCCACCGGCTATCTGAGAGATTCCCAGTTTCCTAAAGTGTAGAAAGGTGGAATAATTGGTTCGATTTGATGAGTACTTGCTAAGGCAATTAGAGAAAGAGAAGATTAGGCATGGCGAAAAAATGCACTATATAATTTAGAACCTCAATGGAGGTGGCAGCAAGACTCTAAGTAAAGCTCTAATACATATAAGGGTTCATAAAAAAATAAATTGAAATTTAGTTAAAAAGACAAGCCTCCTAAATTCAGCATAAACAACTAAAATAGCAAATAGATGCCACGATTTGATTTAAAGATAATATTGCCACCAGGCAGAGAAGACTCAATCCAAGAGAAAATCCTTTTATAGATAAACTATTACTCATTTAAGATTGTTTGAACCCAGATGTCACCTGGATCAGAAATAAGGGTAATGCATGCAAAAAAGTTGAAACAATTGCCAGTAGCTATAAGTTCTTTCATAGAATTCAAAAAATGGATGATTAATTAAAACGGAGCATCTTAAAGGATTATGAAATGAATAAGAATTACGATTATAAATTGAGTTCCCAGGACGTAAAAATCGATACCAGTAAATCAGATGAGATGGGTTCGCCCTATTTTCTTTAAGGCGCTGAACGATTGGTAGTTGAATTTTCCCGCAATAATAAGATATGGCGTTCCCCTTGAATTTCACATAGAATTGCTTTCCTAAAAGATATTCTGATTCAGGATGGACTGAAATTTAGACCTCGCCTAGGTCTCATCAGCACCCCCAACAAAACCCGGACCATGACAGTGTAGCGTGTTTTCTCGACGCGTTAACCCTTACGCCACATTGCCAGGAGTGCCCTTGAGTCACAGGGCAGATGTGAATTTCAAGGAAGGCCAGGCATTTTTCAATATCACATTCTGTGTTGGGATTGCCGATGAAGCAATTGTAGCAATTATATGAAGAGTTTATAGCAATAGACTATATAATTTATTGAGGTTGTTTGACCTTGTTTTCGCAACTTGGTGATATTGGTAAGAAAACTTAGAGGAACGCACCTAGTCCGGAGTCCATTGTATGCATGATCATTTCTAGAGTAGGACCTTGGACGTGGTACATTCCCAGACGTTTCGCTGGCATCGTCAGTGAGTATCGTCAGTCTTAGCACCACACAACAACTTGTCAAAGAGACAAGTGAAGCAGATCCTTTAACCAAACGTGTGCTAAACAGTTGTGGTATCTCCCCTTCTGCCCTGGGCTATTCACATTTCCTATATCCTCCTATCACGCCTTCACTGTTACAATTTTTACCGTGCTTAGATGTAGCGTGGTGTGCTCCTTTGAGCGGCATTCATGAAAACTCTCCATTCTCCACACTGGCTTTCTCACCCCCCTTTACCCTTGTGCTGGGAATTTTGATCAGAGTTTACCATATTGTTACGCAGTCCTCCTTCCCTAGGTCTTATCAGTCTCCCTCTTGCCCCGTCAGATCCGTCTGCTATCTCCCTGGTTCACGTGATTCATTCGACCCCTGCAAACCTATATGTGCTACTCGAGGCGTTACTCGCCCTCCTCTGCGCCTGGGTGACTAATTCGAGGCTAAAGCCTCTAAGTATCAGGGTCACGCCTTCATGGACCACCTCTCTGGTAAAACCTACTGTCAACCAACTAGTCCCAGTCTCCGCTGCGTCTATCCTGTTTCTATCCCTAATACCAAGTCTATGACTTACTATGCCCTAGTCTCTTGCTTTGATTAGGTTGAATGTTGAACCACAACGTTTGTGGGTTGGCACACAAGAGACTAAGAAATAGGAAGTGATAGACATGGTATTAGGGATAGAAAAAGGAAAGGCGAGGTTGGGACAATAGCTATTTGGCTAACAATAGATGTGTTTTATCATAGATGTGATCCATGAAGCACGTATATTTTTAGTCAACTAGCTATAGTCTCCGCCGCGTCTACCCTGTTTCTATCCGTACTACCAAGTCTATGACTTGCTATGTCCTAGTCGCTTGCTTTGATTAGGTTCAATGTTGAACCACAACGTTTGTGGGTTGGCTCACTTACAAACGAAAGTAATCTAGTTCAGCGCCATAGCAAATATAATTTTACTTCATCGACAATGCCACAATTTGACATGGGAAAGTATCTGGCCTTCCTTGAAATTCACATCTGGCCTTCCTATAAATTCACATCTGCCCTGTGACCCAAGGGCATTTGTGGAAATGTGACGTGTCGAGAGTATACCGTGAACTTTCATGTTTAGAGTTCCGTTGAGAGTGCTCATCCTGGCCGGGGAGGTCGAAACTTCAATCCACTTCAGCCAGGATCAGAATACATCTTAATAATAAAAGCCATATGAAATTCATTAAAAACGTAAGGTCTATTCATATCATTCTGGAAAAATTCAACTACCAGCCCTTCATCACCTTAAATGAAATAGAGTGAAAACATTTTATATACAACCATATGCTGTTTGATAAATGGTCAGTGAGGAATCTCTAGCAATGTCAAGAGTGCTGACAGAAAATAGGTTAAATAGGAAAACGAAAAAGTATGGACTAAGATCTACGATTAATTCTAATAGCGAAACAAGGAGGCAAATCAATTATCGCCAAAATTAACCATTAAAGACGAAAAGTGGATGTTATCTGAAGTGAAGAAATAAAAAATTGAAAAGCCAAAAGTAATCTGGAGACAATGGCTTACTTAAGATGACGATCGTAGGTGTCCAGACATTCATGCATTCGACATAATAGGCCAACAACGTTGGAGCTACGATGAAGTGACTCGGAATCGACTGGTTCATCCTCCTTGACACTGGAAAGTTCAACCTCATGATCAACCTCCTGGAAATCTGTATTTGTAGGCAGATTTGTATTCGATAGGAAAGGCGTCGTCTTCACTGTTATAGTGCTAATTTGCTTTGAAACTTTATAACAAGATGAGGGAGGCGGGAGAGCAGGGGGCGTCGACTCTGAGGGGTCAGCAACAAGAAGCCAATGCAGAGAAGGGGTTCGGGAGATGGCCCGTATCAAATCGATCAAAGACCGATAAAGAGAGACGCGTTTGGCCATATCAAGAGCGGAGTCATTACGTAAGTGTGATTGCATTAAGAATGGCAATCTATAACCTGTCAACAGATACGACAAACTTGCGGAAAGATGCCAAGCCGATTTGCTCTTTTGATGCAGAAAATGTTGGGCCCCAGGTGCTGAACGAGTTGAGATACTGTGCGGATGAATAAACTCAGCATACTGGTTAGCAGAGGCAGATCCTTCAACAATGCAGAAAGCTGAGATAAAACTGGCCAAAGTCGAGTAAAGTATTACAGCATAAGCATCCTCATGAACAGTTTTTGACTCAGCCAGTTCCGTATTCCAGGCACTAGTATAGCCACCAGTAGCGAAACCAGTTCCTTTAGCCCAGTATAAAGAGTCTTCACAGGAACCTGGATCTGTAACACCAGTTGAGAAATTATGAGGCAGACTACCTGATGAAGCTTGTCCTCCAGGTGCTGACCGATCTAGATTGGCTTGCTGTACCAGCACTGCAAGCTCCGCCCGAAAATCGGCTTGAGCGTATAAACTAAGCTGTAGGGAGGCTGGGTCTAGTTGATGCAGAAGGCTGAAGAAACTGGTTTGGGAAGTTGGGGTTTCTGGTTCTGTAGGTTCGGCGACAGAGGCCTCAGCCGAGGAGACAAGATGAGGCTTGGTGGCGGGAATAAGCGTTGCCGGATAAAGGCGTTTGCGAAGATAGTGCATTCGGTGATCGTAAATTTGTCTAGTTTTATCATTGCTAGGGTCCTGTTGACTTCGGACGAAAGGGTCTACGAGAGCATCAAGGAAGCCAAGTAACAGATGCACGATGCCAATACGCCAGCAAGCAATACCTAGGGTTTCGCGGAAGTTAGATGCAAGGGCGAGGTGTTGAAAGTGCGTCATCATTGCAGTAAGCGGTAGCAGGCGCAAGTGATGAAGCAAGTTTGCAGGACAAAAGAGACTCTTTGATACCAGATGAGTATCAGGACCAATAGAAAAGAAGCCCTCGTGGAGCTGTGAAGAATTCTGATAGTCGGGTAGTAGAAGGCAAGCAATCAATTGGACAAGATCCGAGAAACGATTCTGTGTGCGTATGGTTACAGATGCAGATGATCGGTGCCAATCACCCTGAGCCTCACTGGCAGTCGCTGGGATACATTTTGGTCTTTGAAGGCCTAGAAGAAGACTGGAAGAGAAACCTGGTAATTGAAGGCAGATAAGGAGAGTGAGCTGAGTGTGAGCAGGTAGCAGGGAATGCCGAGTAGGGGAGCCAAATCCCTTTGGTTGGGCTGAAGCAAACTGTTCAAAAATTAACTCCCCAAGCGCTGGGTTTTGGTCAACGTTTGCGGACAAACCTGAATCATGATGAATGGCTGCTGATTTATTGTTCATGCTCAAGTGCGGGTAATTGAGCCCAGTGACAACGTATGAGGTAGCTGTAGTTCGCCCCGTTGTTGATGAATCATCAGGAGAAAAGTCTACGTTGGACCCAAGCATGTCTGCCAAGAACTCATGAAACGCATCACTAGGCAGTTGCGGTTGCTGGTGCAAATCTGCTAAAAGTCCAGTTTCCAGGACTGATGATGCGAAAACATCAGTCCCTTGCTCTTCTACATCCATAAGATCTGTTTTATCCTCTTCTCCATCATCAGCATCTCCTTTTACTTCATGC